CCCCAAAACCCCAAAACCCCAAAACCCCAAAACCCCAAAAACCTGCCCTTAAATTGAAGCTGATATTAGAATTTTATTTTATAAATGGGGAAAAATCAAAGTAAACCAAGGGTACCAAAGATACCAAAGAAAAATAGGGTGAATTCTAAACAAGACATGTTTTTACTCAAGTAAGATAGATATTAATAATGCATAAAGCACGAGCCAAGTACGATAGCATTTATAACAAAATATCATGTCAGAAACTACCTTAGAGATCTATTTAAAAGCTAAGAATATCCATTTCAAAACAAGAATTTCTCAAATCTATAACTGAGCCGTTTCCTCAAAGATTCAGTTAGATGCTTCGGACCCCGAGAAGTTAGGAATCAAAGATATTGGCTGCAAGAAATAAGCACGAGAGCTTGAAAGGAGAATTCGAAGACCTTCTAGAACAAGCCCAGAAAATCATCAAAATTACTGATGACCAAAAAACGATTCATGCTGACCACTCAGGTAGATCAACATTTTCATAGTTCATTCATAAAATCATTGTCTGGATATATAAATTTTGGATCTCTTTTATCTGCATGTGAAGCTTCAAGAATTGAACTTGGATCCCAACCTTTGAATCTGAACTTGAACACTCCTTTGTTGGGATTTAAATTAAAACTAAATCATATCACTTTTTAGACAAAGATAAAGATAAACAAAGGGTCATAGGCACGATTGAGGAGAACATACATCAAGAATCTAAAGATATTGACTCACAAGTGTACTTTTCTCTTCTTGAGAGATTATGTAGAGGGATATTCAAGCAAAACTCTACTGTTCATTTGGACCTCTAGATCTAAGCGATAAAAAATATGTCACCTTTCTGAAGAGTATGAGACCTTTGCCTTTTCCCTATTTAAAGAGAATAACAGTGACCAATGTAAGCCCCAAAAACCTGCCTGCATTCAGAAATCTTATTCAAAGTTTATCCTGGGGAACAGTGCAAGCATTAAATCTAAAGTTATTTAATGATGAATTAATCAATCAGAGGAAATTTCTCCATAGCGTTCTGAATGTCTGCTCTAAGGTAAACTCTGAAGTGTCCTTTGAGTACACAGTTATAAGCCCAACTTCATTGATGAAGCTTTTATCTGTGTGTAGGAATACAGGGGAATTATATTTTAGCAATTGCAACATTTATATTCCAAAAGTGCCAGACTTCCGCTATTCTTTGGATGGAAGTACAATCTCAAAACTGGCGTTTGTGGCTTGAAGAATAAATGGGTGGAAAATGACAAGAACATCTTTGGATGACTTCTCAAGATTGTTAGAAGGACTCCCGAAGTCACTAGATTTCAGAGAAACTTTGAAAGAATTTGATGGACGTAGTTCTTTTGTTAGTTGGAAGATGGTGGAGAGAATATTGAGAGAGCATGGATTTGATAAGACTAATGTTGTAAAAGATTAGAAATAAACATTATTTATCAGCGTTGAATATTAACATTCAAAATATTATTTTTATCTCGGGGTTTTGGGGTTTTGGGGTTTTGGGGTTTTGGGG